TCATCAGTTGCCACGTAACATCAATTGTCATCAGTTACCACGTGACATCCATTGTCACCAGTTACCACGTGACATCAATTATCATCAGTTACCACGTGACATCAATTGTCATCAGTTACCACGTGACATCAATTGTCATCAGTTACCACGTGACATCAATTGTCATCAGTTACCACGTGACATCCATTGTCATCAGTTGCCACGTAACATCAATTGTCATCAGTTACCACGTGACATCCATTGTCATCAGTTGCCACGTTCTGTGCAGCGCTGAGAGGACCCTCCCTGTCAGATAGGGGAGTGAGTGCCGGCTGCGAACTTGCTGACCCCGTGCCCTTACCGGACATCTGTGAAAAAGAGCTTCTTAGCTCATTGGATTCCTCCTGCGCTGTAAATAAATATTCTGATGATTTGTGAAACATGAACAAGAGAGCAAAGGGGGGGGAGGGGGCTCCGAGAGACACAAACGGCCACGTACGGTGCGAAAGAAGTTCAACGTACGGTACACAGAGAGGGAAAGGAGGATCGGTGTCTGCCATCACGCCTTGCGTGCCACGTGACCCTACCGTGCCTGGCGTGTCACGTGGCACTGCCATGCACCGCCTTTTGCTTGGCCCACCAACTCAAAGGAGTTATTTTCCAGTCTGAAAAGAACAACACCCACGCGTACTTTCTATGTGCGTAACGATTCACTGCCACGCTCCCTCTCCCCACCCCCCTCTCTCTCTCTCTCCACCATCGTCAATTCGATGAATCGTCACGATTTCTTGAACGGCGATTCAAGAATCGAATTTTTCCAACGCCGGTGACACGCGGGTGTCAACGCGAACGCGCATTGCGCGCGACACGAATCTCCAACAGTCACCTTGGGCACGCGACTCGGTGCCAGGTACGGTGAGCTTAACGAATCGACGGTTCATCTCCGATTCGCTGGCGCCTCCGATTTGGCGCGGGCGGCTCCGTACGGTGCGAAAGAAGTTCAACGTACATGCATGCAATCTGTCGCATTCATCGTTACACTTGTACACAGTGCCGGTGACGATGCAGAAGCAGAAATATTGATGAACACTGGAGGAATCCAATGAGCCAAAAAGCGCTTCATCACAAACGTCCGGTCCGGTTTGGGCGGCTCATAACGTTACAACAACAAACGAAAAAAAATGTACGATAGGAGTGCAAAGTATGGGGAAAGTAAGCAAATCACTTAGAACATATACAATATTCTTGGTTATTTCCGGTAAAGTCACGTAGAAGGGAAATCATAAAATAATATAAATATAAAACAATAAAAAAATTATCACGACGTTTCGACTGCAACACAAGCAATCATCATCAGGTGTGAAACCCAAAGCAAGAAAAATTGTGGATTTCACACCTGATGATGATTGCTTGTGTTGCAGTCGAAACGTGGTGAGAAATTTTTTTATTGTTTTATATTTCTATTATTTTATTATTTCCCTTCTACGTGACTTTACCGAAAGAACCAAGAATATGAATCCCTGCAGTCACGAAAGTTTAAATCAAAATGTAACATATAAAATGTTTTATTCTACCAGGCTAAGCCCACTGACCTATTCGCTTATTTTCCAGAAGCGACCTGGCCATAAATGATAGCTCGGCGAAGTGGCTTATCGCGTGGAAATTTATAGCAGCCAAAATACTCTAAATAATCTAAGGGCACTTAACGAATCTCAGATGGGGATTGCGAAGTCTAAAATTGGGCGCTGTGTGTGCACGCGTGCACCATTACGCCGATGCGTGTATTTATCAATCCACTCCCGTGGATGAAGGGTTCGTCATCTGCACGGCGTGTCCGGTAATGGGGGGGGGGGGGGGTGGGTGGTGTTGTTTGATCATAAACCGCGTTTGTCGGCGTTCGTCGGCGAAAGTTGCGGTCAGCGCCGGTTCAAATGTCACTTCGCCACTGATAATACGCCGTGGCCGGGAATCGAACTGAGGTCACAGGGTTCATAGTTCAGTGTGCTAACCACCGGGCCACCGCTCCACCCCCTAAAACTATTTACACACACACACACAACTCAGCCGAAACCGAAAAGGATACTAATAATTTGCGGGTAATTGCCATAAAAAAATACAATAATGTAAAATCAATACGATGACTATACAGTTAATAATGCACGTGTTAAATACGAGCATTGCGCAATAATAAGAATAACAACGAGCGAATGAATCATCATTAATAATCACAGACATATCCTGAGAAAACACACACATCGATTTTTTTTCGTTCCCTTAAGTGGCGCTCAATATTGACCACGAGCCTCGACCCCCCGTTAATCATCGACCAGCGCAGACGCGCGGCAGCGGTGACGAGGGAGATTGAGTGCCGCTTCCTTCAAAAGCGAAAGTTATAAATTGGCAAACGACCGATCCGGCACTTTACTTAAACAAACAGAGCCGCGGTCGTAATTCAATTATAGGAAGAAAGTGTCTTTGGCACGGAGGGAGTCCACTGACCCAAGTTACGCACCCCGCTAGCCTGGGCGAATGTCATCAGCCAGATTTCCAAATAACTCTCGTGCTGATGCTTGCATCGCTCCACAATTCCGGAGCTTCGTTGTACAACAGCGTATTTGACACGTTGTTTTTTGTTCTGCAGGCTATACACGCATATATATACACACATTATATGGTGATAACAAGAATAACAAATTGACCAGCGTTGTAAAGTATGGTTGACAACCCCCGTGACAGTCACGGCGTGGGGAGGCCTTCATCCAGCATTTATTGATTAAATGACGAATATAATATTAATGACGGTCCACATTATCAATGATAGTGAGATTACACGTATATATGTACTCTATTGTGGGCGTGTGTACATATCATAATAATTGGCAGCCGTCCGTCAATTGACCGAACCTTAAGCACGCTGCTCGGTGTGGGTTCGTGACAAGGGGAGAAGGAGGTGGGGTTGGAGCGGTTCCGACACGACTGATGTTCGTTTATGGCCAAGAATCGAACTCGGATTGCCGAGTCCATAGCCACGAACCCGGCGACCCGAATTTTATTCCCCGCTCATAGCCAACACCGGTGACGATTATCTGAACCCGTCCGAGGCCTCCCCTAGGTCGACTCAGCCTCAAATGAGTACCTGTTGCGGCGCGTAACCATTGTCACCAGGGAGACAAAGGCCGCCGGGAGTGGTGTTGGCCACCTACCCCCTCGTGTGCTGTGCCGGCCTTCATAGGAGCTATTCGCTACCGGCACTTGCCCTGACAGTCTGCCAAAGCTATACGGGGGATCTTTGTCTGTGTATAATATAGAGAACATGCATGCCCTCGCGTTCACAACTGTTTGTTTTCAGAGGCAGGACGTGTCTCTCCATTGCGTCACGATTCATGGGATCTCTCCGCGAGTCTTGGCCTCGGAGTAAGAGACGGATCCCCTTGGTCAGGACTCATCCCTCCCCCCGCCCCCTGCTGAGCCTTCCTCCCCCCCTCCCTCCCCACCCCCCAGCTTTCTGCCACCCCTCCAAAACTAAACCACCACCACCACCCATCCACTGAAACCTCCGTCAAGCCAGCTCGCTACTTTCGCTCTAACACCACCTCGGACACTGCTCACCGACTCTGGGACATCCCCAAAACCCTCCCCCCCCCCCCCCGAGTCAATCTTTGCAAGCAGTCTCAGTTTCATATGTATGGTAAAGTTGAATCATCTTTAATATATTGTTTTCTTCTATATTTCATATAAACCCAAAACTCTATATGCACACACACACACACGCGCGCGCATGTTGTTTTGTTAATTGCGGTTTAGCAAGCAATGCACTGCTTTGCCACATTGTATAACAAAAACAACGTATAAGCAACTGTCAGACGAAATCGTCACCATCCGAATTATTTATCGCGACCATGCACATTTTAAAACAGTCTACAATTGAACTCGCCGTCAGCGACACAAACTCGTGCGAAATTTTGACTTCAAACTTTCGTGACTGCAGGAATTCATATTCTTTGGTTCTTTCGGTAAAGTCACGTCGATATAAAAAAGGTGAATAAAATGTACTTCTCTTTTTCCTATCTACGTGACTTTACCGAAATAACCAAAGAATACAAACGAGCGTATGGGGGGGGGGGGGGGGTGGACACGTGCGCACATTGCAGAGGAGCCAGTTGCACAATCTACGCTGAACTTCTTTCGCACAGCACGTGGCCAACGGCGCTAATCCAACTTGCTCTGTGGTAGCGACCTGCCGGCAACGCGAAACCCGGACTCCGAGCGCCTAAGGGACGCGTCTTTGACCGATTGAAACGCGATTATAAATAATTAACCAATGATGATGATAATGACGACGACGGTGATGTTGATGATGATGTCTGCGCATGTCTTTGTGCAGTGCCGACCTTCGTAGGTGCTGCTCGCTAACAGCACTCGCCCCAACAGTCTGTTAGGCCTACACGGGTGACCTTTTTCTTTGTGTATTTCATAAATATACAAAGAAATAAATAATGATGATGCATGGTTATCTGCGTGTGTGTGTGTCTCGGCCATGTGTGCCCTTGTCTTTGCTGTCCGTGTGTATGCGTGCGCCTCGGTACGTGTCTACGAATGTGTGTCGTGTGCGTCTTCGTGTGCGCGTGTGTGTCTGTGGTTATGCGCGTGTGTGTATGCGCGCCTGTATGCGCGCCTGTATGCGCGCGCGCGTGCATCCGTGCGTATCTTCGCATGTGTGCATGTGAGTGCGTGTCTGCATGTCTCGTTGTATCTGCGCGCGCGTGTGTATCTGCGTGTCTTCGTTTGCGTGACGTCTTTGTACCGGCATGCATGTGTATCTCCGCATGCACATACACGTGTGCGTGCATGTCCATGCCTGTCTGCGCGCGCGCGCGCGCGCGTGCGTGTGTGTCTCCGCATGTGTACATGTGTCTGCGTGTAAGCGATTGTGTCTGTGTGTGTATCGATGCGTTTGTGTGTGTGTGTGTCAAGGGTGGGAGTGGCCCCCGAAGTGGCGGTGTCGTGCACGGCTCTCTCACCACCACAGGCCGATGATGTTGGTCGGGTAGAGGAGCAGGAAGAAGAGGGCAAGCGGCGCTCCGGGCAGCCGAGCCATGCTGCTCCTGCGACGAGGGCTCCCTCCTCCGCCCCGTGTTCTCTCTTCTCTCCCCGTGTGTGTCTCTGTCTCTCTCTTTCTCTGTCTCTCTTTCTCTCTCTCGCCTTCTCTTGCGTCTCGTCTCTCTCGCTGTGCCTTTACCGGCAGCACCCACCCACAACTTCCACCCCCCCCCCGCCCGGTCGCTGTGTAGTCGTTGTTGTTGTTATTGTGAGTGTTGCTGCTTTCTTTGTACTTTTTTGCTTGTTTTTGTTTTTCGTTTGCTTTCAAAAATCCGGTCACTCGCGCCGCGTGTCAGCGCGCGTTCGCGTCGGTGACCGCCGGCCCTTTGCTGGCGAAGGTGGTTGCGACTCGAGTTCTCATGATTTTATTCCGTGCTCACCCCCCCCCCCCGTGTCTGTCGACAGTGTGCCTGTGCGTCTGTCGTGCACGCGCGTGTCCGTGTGTCTTCGTGGTGCGTGGGACTGGCACTGCCTTAGCCTACTCGCCCCTCTAGTGCGTTCGCTCGTTCGCTCGTTCTCTCTCTCCGCTGGCTCTCTCCGTGTCTCTCTGTCAGCACCGTTCGTCTCCCGACTGACCGGGCCACCCCGCCGACACGTCACGCACTGCCGCACGACCGACACCCACACCCACCACCCCCCCCCCCCCCCCACACACACACCACCTCCACACGCCCCGTGCACCACTCAGGCGTAAAAACTCCGCGATCTTTACGCAGCGAGCAAAACCGCAAAACTACACAACAGCTGTGGAGAGGAAGTCGGAGAGAAACAATCGCGCTCGCAGAGAGACACGCATCGCGCGCGCGCATGCACTTACGTACGTGGGACACACAAAGACAAAGGTCTGCCCGTATAGCCTTCACAGACTTTTGGGGGAAAGTGCTGTTAGCGAACGCCTATTTAGGCCGGCACTGCACACGAAGAGGTGGGTGGCCAGCACCACGCCACACACACACACACAAAGATCCCCCGTATAGCCCTTAACAGACTGCTCGGGCAAGTGCTGTTAGCGAACACGCGCGCACACACACACACACGCGCGCTCACGTACTACAGGGCCCGCACGCCGCGCCTCTCAGCTGGGAAGGCGCCCGCTGCGGAGAGGGGAGCGCGCCCTGGGGTCGAGCCGAGGGGGCGGAGGCCTCCATTTAAATAGCGCAACGCTGGCGTCCCTATGTCCCGACGCCGCTTGCCAAGCGCCCACGTGAGAAGCGTGTGTGTGTCAGTGTGTGTACGCGTGTGTGTGTGTGTCAGTGTGTACGCGCGTGTGTGTGTGTGTCAATGTGTAATGCAGTTCGGAGACTACTCGCACGCGTCCCCGGTAGCGGTGCGCGCCCCTACACGGGACTCTGTCGGCACCGGGCAAGCGACGGACGCACGGGGGCTCTCGTCCCTCCCCTCGGCGTCTTTACTCAACGCGCACTCCACCTACCGACTCTCACACCCCCCTCCCCTGCTTCACTATCCCCCCCATCCTCCTCCTCCTCCACCCGCCCCTACCACCACCACCTTCTCAGCGCGCGCCCTCCCCACGCTTTAGCCCATCATCACATTTGCTCGCCACAACCACGCATCCACCCCCACCGCCACCACCAAACCACCAACACCCTGCGTCTATCTCACTCCCCCCCCTCTCTCTCTCTCTCGCTCCTTCAGCCGTGCCTCGCCTCCGGCGTCGGAACTCTTTCCCACCCCCCCCCCCGATTTGAAAAATGCGAGGCATGAACACCCAAAAATGAGGGGTCATGTCAGAGCCACTCTGAGCTGCCTCCTCTGCTGAAACGAACAAAAAAATGTCTCGCCAGCTCAGGATGATTCTTTACACCCCCTACCAGAACCCTCTCCAACAGCCCCCGTTGTCGGGATCATCATCCCTAACTTTCGAGGTGGCGGTGGTGGTGGTGGGGGGGGGGGGGGTCTGTGCTGGGACCTGTGACCTCGGTTCCCCGGTTTCTTGAAGTCGCCTCGGACCCGACTAATACATCGCTGCACCTGGTCACCCCACGCGCGCTGGAAACCCAAAGCGACTTGAAACAGCAGCGGCGGCGGCGGCGGCGGCGAGATTCATTAGCGGGAGAGACGCGAACGCGGGGGCCTCTTCTGACACAGGAGCCGGAATATCGCGACATTTCTCCCGACAAGTGGACGGGTATGAATAAAAGGCGAATGAAAAAAAATGCGTCAGCAATTTTTCGTTAAAATGTTGTAGCGTGACGTTCAAATTTCATTTTTGTTTAAGACGCGAGAAGAATATATATTGTTTTAAGTAAGAAAAAATATCACTCTACAACGGTCGTGAAACTCAAGAAAGCAACCTTCATTATATGTCAAGAAATATTACTGTCAACCGTAAAACAAATAAGGCGCAGTTTGGTAATAATAATAATAACGTAATAATTCAAAGCATGGAGTTTGAGCGGTACAGATGCGTTTAGAATATCCGCCCCACCGCTCCACCTCCCACCGCACCACACTTTCTCCGCCCTCCCACCGCGCCACACTCCCACCACACCACACCGCCACCACACCACACTCTCACCGCACCACACTCCCACCACACTCCCACCACACTCCCACCACACCACACTCCCACCACACTCCCACCAGACCACACTCCCTCCACACCACACTCCCACCACACCACACTCCCACCACACCACACTCCCACCACACTCCCACCACACCACACTCCCACCACACCACACTCCCTCCACACTCTCACCACACCACACTCCCACCACACCACACTCCCACCACACTCCCACCACACCACACTCCCACCACACCACACAGCCACCACACCACACTCCCACCACACCACACTCCCACCACACCACACTCCCACCACACTCCCACCACACCACACTCCCTCCACACCACACTTCCATCACACCACACTCCCACCACACCACACTCCCACCACACTCCCTCCACACCACACTCCCTCCACACCACACTCCCACCACACGCCCACCACACCACACTCCCACCACACTCCCACCACACCACACTCCCTCCACACCACACTCCCACCACACCACACTCCCACCACACTCCCTCCACACCACACTCCCTCCACACCACACTCCCATCACACCACACTCCCACCACACCACACTTCCACCACCACACTCCCACCAGACCACACTCCCTCCACACCACACTCCCACCACACCACACTCCCACCACACCACACTCCCACCACACCACACTCCCACCACACCACACTCCCACCACACTCCCACCACACCACACAGCCACCACACCACACTCCCACCACACCACACTCCCACCACACCACACTCCCACCACACTCCCTCCACACCACACTCCCACCACACCACACTCCCACCACACCACACTCCCACCACGCCACACTCCCTCCACACCACACTTTCACCACACCACACTCCCACCACACCACACTCCCACCACACCACCCTCCCACCGCTCTCCCACCAAACCACACTCCCACCACACCACACTCCCTCCACACCACACTCCCACCGCTCTCCCACCAAACCACACTTCCACCACACCACCCTCCCTCCACACCACACTCCCACCACACCACACTCCCACCACACCACACTCCCACCACACCACACTCCCACCCCTCTCCCACCACCCCACACTCCCACCACACCACACTCCCTCCACACCACACTCCCACCGCTCTCCCACCAAACCACACTCCCACCACACCACACTCCCTCCACACCACACTCCCACCACACTACACTCCCACCACACCACACTCCCACCACACCACACTCCCACCCCTCTCCCACCACACCATACTCCCACCACCCAACACTGCCACCACCCCACACTCCCACCACACCGCACTCCCTCCACACCACACTCCCACCACACCACACATGTACTCACACACACAAATAGACAAAGACAAAAATCCCTGTAGGGCAAGTCCGGCACGGCACACGAGGGGTGGATAGCCAGCACCACGCCCGGCCGCCTTTGTTTCCCCAGTGCTGACATTTCACACACCGCACCAGGTACTCATTTGATTCTGAGTCGACCTAGGGGAGGCCTAGGACCGGTTTAGTTTATCGTCACCGGTGTTGGCCGTGAGCGGGAATCGAACTCGGGTCGCCGGGTTCGTAGCGTAACCGCTACACCACCGCTCCCCGCAGAATGCCGGGGACGCACACAGACATCCAGGCACACGTGTCCACACGCGCACACACGCACACACTCACGTGTTCGCATAGAGACCCATGCAAAGCCACACGCAATCGATATAGGGGGCAAGTGCTGTTAGCGAGCACCTATGAAGGCCGGAACGGTACACGAGGGGGTGGGTGACCAGCGCCACGCCCGACCGCCTTTGTCTCCCGAGTGGCGATGCTTACACACCGCACAAGGTACCGATTTGAGGCTGAGTCGACCTAGAGGAGGCCCAGGCCCGGTTCAGATAATCGTGACTGGGTGTTGGCCGTGAGCTGCACCACCGCTCCCCACGCGCTCACACACAAAGACAAAGATGCCCCCCCCCCTGAAGTCAAATCACCTGCTCGGAGGTGGCAGGCGTCTGCAAGCAACATTACAAGGAAGGTAATTTTGTGTTCGTTCCGAATTCCGTAAAAAGGAAATATAAGAAAACGACTCCTCAGTGCAAGCGCGTGGAGAACACGAGGCGGGTGTCGAGTCCGGTGCCTCTGCAGGTGACTGCTGTAACCACGCACGCAGACACACTCAGACAAAGACACCCCCGTTATAGCCTTCAAGACATTTGGGTCAAGTGCAATTGACGAGCCCCTATTAGGGCTGACACGGTACACGAGGGGGCGGTGGAGGTGGGGGGGGGAGGGGGCTGCACCACCGCCTTTGTCTCCCCGGTGGCCATGTTTACACAGGTACTCATTTGAGGCTGAGTCGACCTAGGGAAGGCCCAGGACCGGTTAAGATAATCGTCAATGGTGTTGGCCGTGAGCGGGAATCGAACCCGGGTCGCCGGGTTAATAGCGCAGCGTAGCGCTGACCGCTACACCACCGCTCCCCACTATACACACGCGCACACATATGCACAAACACACGCACACACATGAACAAACACACACATACACGCACGGACGCAGATCCTTCCCGCCCCCTCCCCCTGTATCCCGACCTGCCCAGCCACCTCCCCCCGGGATCGCTGTCTCTCTAAGCTGCGTAACCATCACGTCGCTAAGACCATAAACTAGCTAAACCGAGCGCCACTAAGCCGCCGCTTTTCTTAAATTGTGTCGCCCCGTGCCCCTAAATCTCATCCCCTTCCAGCCCCCCACCCCACACCACCCCACCCACCTCACCCACCCCTCCCTCTCCCACACCCATCCCACCCCGCCATAGCCGCTCGGCACAATCGCAATCGCTTTGTGATTGCGATTCGCTCCGTGGGCGTGGGGACTTGGAGCCGCGGCTGCGTGTGGTCGGCGCAACTTGCGATATGAACAGCGGGGGGAACTCGAGTTCGATTCCCAGGCCCCCCCCCCCAGCGAACGTCTTCTCGGCCCTCCTCGCCCCCCCCTCCTCCTCCTCCTCCCCCTCCTCGCCGCCGATTCAGCGGCGATCGG